AATCTTACCAAAACAATTCCACAGGTCAATTTCAAGATGGCGCACACCCACGTTGAGCTTGTCAGTAAAGCTGAATTCCTGCTTGGCTACTGAGATGCAGACTTGGTCATCTTTTACCGGCCATTGGCAATCGTCCAAATCACCATAACCGCTTGCTCTATTATTAAAAGCATTATGAGCCCCCAGAAATTGCACACGATTAACAGGGATGTCGATTTGAAGTTCTCTTTGAGTCTTCAAGGCGTATTGAAGCCAAGATGAAATCCTAGCGGTACCTTGAAGGCAAATTCCATGAAATCCGCAGTTAGAGCAGTTCCCACATTTACTAAGCTGATCGCACTGAGCTGTATTTCCATTTCGATGACGCAGAGATCGGTTGTTTTTTCCATCCTGTGATCGAAGGTGAAACTTCATGCCACCAGTGCGGCTTTTACGGACGTAGACGCTAAGATATCTATCCTTCAAAGGTCCCTGTTCAATCTGATACAAAACATGTAGCTTGTAAAGCACTGAAGAAGGCGACCGGGTATTTTTCGCGCAGTCTAGAATTCTTCTAAGTTTTATAATCTTAATGCCACCACTGTAACGTTGAATTCCAAACTCCGCGGCCTCGTTTAAAATGAGGGCTTCCTGCTGCGACAGGTGTTGCTTGTTCAGTTTGTTGAGCACTTTCTCCAGTGCTAGATCTTTCTTCTGGACTGGATCTCGTCGATTTAATCAAGTTGAAGTCGTTATCCGTATTGTAGAAACGAAGAAAAACGATATAGCAATGTTGAAGAAGGAGACCAGACCTCTGACGTCTAAAATACGGTCAAAATTCATTTTTGATTTCTGAAAATGCAACTATAAACTCAGCCTTTTTTTATAGCAGGTGGTAAAAGTTACCTGACCCCACGAAAGCAAGGGTGACATTCGTTTACAGGTACTAAACAGTTATTTTAAGTGCAATGGTTTTCAAGCCCATCAGACTTCTTCGTAATATCAAGTGCACATAAATTTGCAAAGCTGTTCAAATTAGTACGTAAAAATAAACTTTGCAAGACATACACACGACACCGATAGGACCCAAACAGAGCGGGGTCGTAGCCGTTTTATTTCTCTGAAATTGATTTGGCATACTTAATATCTATAAATCATTTTAAAATATCAATGCAAAATTAAAAGAAGTAGACGCGATTTTGTTTGAAATGTAGGGTCCACTTAAGCACTAATTTTGCAAAAATTTTACCATCAGTAAGATCGGGTTGTTCCATGTTATTGCCGAATGATAGCTGTTGTTATTCATAAAGTTCCGTAGCCATCATGTTATCATAGGTCAATGGACCTTTTTTTAATAACAAAGCCACCTTAACTGAGGTCAGAAGTGCCTATTTTTTTCTGCCGCTCTGCGGTAAAAGCCTGCATGGACTTTTACAAGCGCAGTCATCGATAAATCCCGTTGACTCGCCTTGCCCTTGATTTCTATTGTCATTTCAACTGTAAATATATCCGAAATAAGCGTTAGCATTTCAAAACATGTTTTTTTTCCTCCAAAGCGCTTGTGTTTCAAAGAAACGACGGGCTCTGGCGACGAGAAGTCCGCGATCTATGACGTGCCTCCGTTTCCGAGACTTGATCCATTCAAAAATCGAGTGTCTTTCAGCTAAATGCTTCTCGCTGGTTAAGTTTACGTTACGTTCGCCTTACGTTGAACGCAATGACAAATAGGTCAATCCTTTGCTTTAAAAAAGCTTATTGAAAGACATGAGTGCTTTGGACAGGGAATACGTCTCAACCCAGAAGCTATCAGGGAATTTCTCTAATCGTCCATCCTTCCGCTAGACTACTTCTGGGCTGCCGGGTTTCAAGAGAATCAAATCGACCTAGGAGGCGGGGGAACGGGTTGGGAAGCGGCGAGAAAAAATATAAATAATATTTTATCAGAAACACTTGTGAAGACGCTGCAAACTGTTTACTATCCATGTGGTCAAGAATTGAGGGGAGAATTCTGGATAATGTGAAACCCTCCATGACTTTCGCGATCTGACATACCAACGAACTCTCTGGTCTTAAAAATCGTTCTCGATACTGTTGTTGGCTTCTGCCGGGTGTGAAGACAGGCAGTTTACAATCCTGCATTCGCTACTTTAGAAACGAGAAGAGAACTGGAGCCGAAATATGTCCCGCAATTGTTTCTGGGATAGCTACTGGGGACGCACAGGTCAGCTATTGGTCAATTTTTTCCCTTTCTCCTGTAACAGTCCCAGAAGTCTTTGCAAGGGTTAACTCGATCCACTTTCCTTCCAGTGTCTAAAGTGTCGAATTCGACAAAGGTGGGGATAGACAAACGCCACGAACTGTAACATCTAAAGTGAGGCATTCGGGGCGGTGGGATCGGGAGACTAAAAAAAATCGTGATTAGCTTTAGCTGGTGTTCCCACGAATTAATAACAGAGTTCTATGAAGCCTCTCCTTAAACGAGCAAGGCTGCCGTCATTTTGAAGCAAAAGATCTGCAAGATGTTCCTATCTCCGTACAATTTTTTCAAAAAAAAAAATTAACGAACAATGTAACAGAATTATTTAACTTTAAAACACCGTTATTTGTGGGAAACATCATGGAATTTGGTCAATACTATGGATCATCTTGGCTGAAAAAATCAAGAAATCAAGTGGTCATAACATCTTCAGGATCATTTATAAGAAAAGTTGAGTTAAGCAGTATTTTAGAGAGCACTATAAGCCAATCATAATTTTTGATTTCTTCCACGATTGTAAATAGCTTTTGAAAAGTGAATTACATCCTTTCATTTATTATGTGTTGTCTATCGTATTTTTAAAATTAAATTTTATTTTTGTCAATATAATAACAACAACAACAACAACAACAAAAATAATACTAATAATAGCCGAATTTTCGAAAACATTCCTCGAAAAGGCCCAGACTGTTTGCATAGAAATCTGGCAATAACCAACCAGGCCTGAAGAGAGTCACCTTATGGCTAAGAGCTGAATTTCTATCACCCAATCTTGCTTTAACACTTGGTGGTGACAAGAGAAACTTATCACATCACAATCTATCTATTTATAGTGTCTCCAATTACCTTTGATCTTAAACAGAAGACACTCAGGCTCATTCGCTTCTAACCCAAGCTATCAGCTTTAACCCGCTTGCAAGGGTAACTCTCGCACAGGCTACCCTCCCTTCTTTCAAACAGGCTCTTAGATCCCGCGAAAATTAGCAGCAATAAGGTAAATTTAGGTCTTCACTATTTTATGGTACTTTTCTGTATAATTTTAAACAACACTCTGATGCCATCTGACTAGTGTACAAGAGTCCCTTTATGTTTCTAAACGCAAAAAAACGTATATCTTTACGATCCGTGTCTTCACGAGAATGATGTGGCGATTAACACAAACGGGTTTTTGTCGTAAACGATCTGCAGAGTGAACAAGCAGGTAAACGGAAGAATAGTGGAAGCCGCGGACAAAAACGCTTGTACACGGATTTATGTGGACATGGGCTAAAGCAATGTAGGTACAAGTCTAGGATGGTCCAGCTTCTTTACGCCCGTTGCTCCTTGCTTCTGCTAATAAATTAGTATCTCCTCCTGCATAGTTACCACCTTTATGTCTACCTCCTTCTTCTTCTTCCGCCTTTTTTCTCTTTTCACTTTTAAAATTGCACGAGCGGAGTAAATCACCAACACAACAACAACAACTCCCGAGGCGGAACCACCAGTAATGATAAGAATCATCTTAAGATCGTCTACGGAAAAAATCACACAAAACAAGGGTATCGTTAAACAAGATGAATCACTTTCATAGCGGCGGACTCAACTATTGCGAGGAACTGTCCAAAAGGCATTCAGGATAACAACGTCACCTTGAGACGCAAAGCGACCGATTCAACGACAGTAGTAATGTGGAAAAGTTGATTTGCACACACCATAAGGTGCGCGTTCATGACAACACAGTCTCCAAACTGTAAAGAAACCCATTTGCTCCACTGAATTTTTTCTGAATACTACGCGCGAAATGATTGGTCGTTACTCATGATCTGTCAGAGTAAATACACGCGAATGACTTCACAGAAAAATTGTATTCCCTGCTTTCTCGAAAGTAGCGTACAGTTTACAAGATGTTTGCGTTACTCCCCGGGGGGTACTGCCATATATGGGCTATATAGGTATGTGCCGCTGTGAAGGGTATGGTTTTCAAGCAGTTTACTCTAGGATAGGGTATATAAATCAGAGCGTTTGGGTCTAGAATAGGGTATCATTTTTCAGGAAACTGATCAGTTGGTTGAAGATTTTATCTTGACTAGGGATTGTGGTATATGGTTTTGTTTTGACCTAGACTGTGCTAGTGACCTCAGTAGTTTCTGGAAAACAGCTACTCTAGGATAGGGGGGATTTGGGGAGTTTACTCTAGTATAGGGTAGAAAATTCAGCTGAACTAGCTCTGGTATAGGTCAAGGGTTCCAGGGTCCCACCCAGAAATTCCTAAAGTCCCCCCCGGCATTACTCATTATTTTTACTGAATTAAGCAAGCAGAGGCTGCCACGAAATTTGCTCTTGGCGACTTCAAAACATTCGTCAACCAACTGCAACAAATCGAGCTCTACTTTTCTGTTCATTGTATGAAGCAAAGAAAAAAATGCGATGTGTTCGTTCAGTCACAGATCAGAGAAAATGGCGTCAAAATGAGGTAAGAACATCAATGGTTCAGGCCGATCACCACACTTTGAAGTCATTTGCTGTCTTTCAGTGAACAGTCGCAGGACAAGATAGAATCTTTTACTTGAATGGAAGCCTTTAGGGGTTTGCTACACATTTAAGAAGGTAATGCCGCTTCTTCAGTGCTAAGCAAATATCCTCTGCGTACCCATAACTTAGTTGTCGCCGCTAAGCCGTCTATCGTCTGTTAATTGACTGTGTTTTAAAACATTTTTTCCCTTGACCTTACTGTAGCATCGATCGAATTGGTCATGTTTCGAATAGAAAACGACAAGAAGTTTGGCCTACCAGGTTTTGAAGATGGCTGTGTTGTTGTAGCAGGCAAAGTGTGGCTTGAATATGTTGCAGGGTGAACAATCATAGAAATTGTCGGAACATGTAGGTTCTTTGATAGGGGATCCTTCTCTGTTCCGTACAGAATCAGCGACCAACTGTAAAGAATACCTTAAACGGACAATTAAAAATAAGAAGGTAGTCAGAAAAATATTAAATGAGGTCACTGGGAGAAATTCCTATTCATAAACAAGAGTTTCATTATCCACTTAAATCAAGATTTAGGTAACTGGTTTTAACGAAAGCGAAATTCTTCTGGAAAGGAACCTCTTGATTATATAATGAAGAAAAAACCCTAAAAATACCGTCTGTACAATTCTGGCCAAGTTACTGACAGCAGCGTGGAAGTAACTAGTAAGCATGTTTCTCCACTCCACTGCGGTTTGTTCACACCTTCCATTCGAGTTTCTGGATTATTCGAGCTAAAATTCAATTTCCCCAGAAATTTCGAAATATGGAGACTTCAACTCGCTATATAATCTAGTTAACTGAGGTAGCCGCCGCTCGGTTAGAGAGGTTAGTAGCCTGCGTAGTAGTCGTTTTCGTTTTCATTATGCGCCATGCCGCACCAAGCGAGGGAAGCGCGGAAGAGCCGCTAGTGCTCCTTTCACCTCACGCACTGGCAGTGCGTCTTCCGTGCCTCTCTTGCTTGGGTAAAAGGAAACGGAAATGATTGGTACGCAGTCTATCCAGTTCATTGACCCCAGGCTTTTGAATGAACGGCAGGCTCGGATTCAAACCCCAGCCAGGCCACAACCAGGGACTTTCAAAAACCCTGTTATAAGATCACGTATCACTTACACTTTGTAAAATAGTCTATTTATTGGGCGGCAACGTTGAGCCGTTGGCCTTGACACCTTAATCTTCCTTTCAATAGAACCCAGGCAGTCAGTATGGAAATGCATTGTCAAATCCCGTAACCATTCAAAGTGGCGTGTTTCAGGGGAGTTTTCTTGGGGCTGGTATTATATATTTACGCTATAAACTGATGATTTTCTATCTTGCATTCTATTTCAGTTTTCCAGCGCAATGATGTATGCTGACGACAAAGTGATCTACTTTACTTCAAAAAAATATGTCCAAACTTAAGTTGACGTTGAATTTGGAACTAGTTAATCTCTCAAAGTAGCTAGAACTTAACAAGCTTATATGCAACGTAAAGAAGAAAAAATGAATGGTTTTCGGTAGGCGGCAAGGTCTTGCCTCGCAGAACAGTGACACTTTCGATCCAAATGTCCATGGTCAATCTATTAAGAGCACGAATGCTTTTAAATATCTAGGCGTTGTATCGGATATAGTTTCTTCCTTTACCACGGCGGAGCTACTGATCTACCAATGAAATCGTTACCAGTTTGGGTTGACAGCCAAATCTTGATGTAGAGTTTCTACTATTCTTCTTTTATCTTTTTAAAAGCATTATTGTCAGTCTTTCTTTCTTTGTAGTTTTTACACAGCAGGAATTATATTGATAGCACTTTTCTCTTAAACTGACGCAGTTAACCTTGGTAAATGTGCATTATAATGCATTATCGGCGCTTTACCTGATTGGTTCATTCTATGAATTCCAACCAATCACGTTACTTTGCTTACGCTGGAAAAGCGATAATTTACGTACAGTAGCGTTGCAGCTAGTGGAGTACATGCATTTTGTTCTTTTTACATAAACATGGTCGAAAACGAAAAGACGTTAATACCGACAACTGGAACCCGAAAATTTGCAATTTGCGACAAAACTAGCAGCATTTTTTCAGCTCTTAGGAAATGGTGCAACAATGAAAGCACAACGTTGACTTGAATTTTTTTCCCCAGTTCAGCTATTAAAATGAAACAATTCTACGCTGTAGTAAAATCGAAAAAAGCTTTAAGGGTACTATTAAACATCAGGGGCGACACATCAGCAACTGATCAAGACTGTAGACACTTCATCTATAATCAGCAAAGAGGGGTAGAGACATTTGCAAGACGGTGTTTCTTGAAATTTTGTATGTGACTAAGTTCAAACTGAACAAATATGTAGCTATTACTGTCGACAATTTTCCAAGATTGATTAGTTTTAGGCCCCGTCCACACGTATCCGGATATTTTGGAAGAAGTAGTAAGAAGTAGGCGAAAAAATAGCTAAAAACATGGCAAGAACAGCAAGAAGACAACTCGAAGGGTGACATCTGCTATTTGGAGAACATTTGCAGAGCTGGACAAACCTAAACGTACACTATCGAAGATGAACTGAACATCGATGGATCGATGGAGGTACGCATGTTTTAGCTATGTTTTAAACTAGGAATTATTTTGAATGAATAATAAAACAGTTATTGAATTCGGCTTTCGTATCATATGAAAAATTATGGAGATCTCGTCTCGGAGGGTGTTATCCGTCGAGGCCGTAGGCCGAGGCGGATAACACCCTCCTCGATCTCCATAATTCATCATAAGATACTCAGCCTCATTCATTAACTGTTAATTATTGACTCGCCCCAACTCTCTGGTAGTATTAACGTCCAAGATGGCAGGATAACGTTATTCCCGAGAAAATAATGGATCGTGCTGCAAAATACGCCTACTTTGCTGGCTAGGAGTCATACTGACCACCAAGAAAGTTACCTTGTGTGTAAATACTGAAAATCATGCATGAAGAAGGGCTGGATAAGGAAGTAGATGCTGGAGAAGTCAGTTCGATGGGACAACATCCAGAACTCCAAGAGCCAACTGCCTCAAGCCCAACAAGTAACACAGTGATACAACTGTGTTTGGGTGATGTCAGTTGTTAAACGTTTGAATAGCATAGTTTGACCCAGACCATTTTGGAATGACCCAATTTAAAATGCCATGTGGGACATATGACCCACTTTGACTAATTTCTAGATTGAACACTTTGACAGTTTCCCGCTAATGCTGTTTATTTGCACCCTTGTGGTGTCATTTGTGTCGTCCCTAGCACTACATAAGCGTAAACAAACAATATTACCTTAACAAGTCATTTTATTCCGTTACTACACTACAGCATGAAATTTCAAATGCCCACTCACCGGTTGTTTTGTAATTTTGGTCTAAATTTTCAATTCTGAGCTTCCACTGTCCTTCAGGACTTTCTCCCCAACTAAATAAAGTAGTGATATACCAGTTTGTCAGGTTTGTGTCTCTATATATATTGTCCACTCTCCTCTGACGAGTCAATGGAGATATGGTTCCACTAGGCGCAATCAGCTCCAAATACAGGTCTCCGCGACGCTCAAAAACTAGATTTACCCTCACTTGAACGTGCTCCAGGAATTTTATTGTGTAATTGCCGACTGTCTCCGTAACCTCTGAAGGTATCACTCTGTAAAAAAGTGTTGTTAGAGAGATTTAGCGGCACATTTACGTTCAGCGGCAAACAGCAGCGATGACCACGTGAACACTTTTTTCAGCCATTCAGTAAGTTTGTTGCTTATGACGTGAAGGTGTGTTTCATTCGAAAGGTAGCGCCATAGGATTTCCTCCAAAATGAAAATAATCTCTCATCACGTGGTCTGGGAGCGAAAGAGTCAAAGAGCATTAGGGTATTTTGGGGGCTGGCGAGTAATTTTTTTAACGGTTAATTCTTTTACTCCTATTAAAAATATGGCGTCCATTTTAGTACCAACCAATGACGTGTTTGCCAGCCGTGAGAATGATTAGGTTTGAAAAAAGTTGAAAGAAGAGATTAAGGACAAAGTCAACTAGAAAGGGCGAAGAAAGTTGACGGATTTATCTTTGATTTTTTTAGCGGTGGTAAATTGAATTTACTAACAAACAACAGTTTGGAGTTTGTTGTTATTCTTCCATCGCTGTCGGATACAGTAACGATATAATGCTGCTAGGTATTACTGTAATTTTATTTTATTCTCAGTTTACGAGCGGAAGGAATTCTCAAAATCCTGCAATATGATTGGTTTTGGGAGCGAGCGGTTTATTTTTTACGACGTTTTCCTCTAACCTGGGGGGAATCGTTTGCGATTTCAAAAGTCGGTTAGTGTTGTTGTTTGTGAATGAGCAAAAGCGGTGATTTAAAATTATTTGCCTTTAAAACTTACGTTCTTATGAGTACTAGCTAGAAAAATTTAATTTCATTATCCAAACAAAATATGTTAAAGAGAGAATCAAGGTAATCCAACCGTGGAAAACCGAATAGGTAACACAAAATGGGCGGCTCGAAATGTCACTTAGCCAGCTATAACCTACGCAATAAGTACTGCAATCTTGCTTTTACGGCACTGCCTATTCGACATTTGTGCTCTGTTTGTAGTCCTTTTTTCCGTGTTTGCTGTCTGAATTGTTAAAGCTTTCAACACGAGAATTGACAACAGCAAGAACAAAAGAGCCCCCTCAACAGCAGCAATACCAACAACAAATATTATTTAAATAAATTTTAACACTATTTAACAATTAGTCGCCGAAGGCGACCTGAATATTCACTATTCACGTCGCCTGAGCGACTGTTTTCGTATAATTACATTGATGATTATTCGAGAAAATAACATTATTGACCAATTTCCGACTCCGAAACATCAACTTATCTGGCTGCCATTTTGAAAACTGCTGGCCTTCAATGTTATAATCACCGCGCGATGATTATAGCGAGATGAAGCGAAGCTCCTTGCCAATCATAGCGCTCTATTTTCTATAATCATCAATGTAATTATACTAAAACTGATTTACCATATTTTCCCACCCGCAAATAGCCTATATTAAAGTACGAACTACTAGAGGCGGGGAGAGAAAAGACATAGTTACAATACAAGGTTACCGAGTAGATGGACTAAACAACGATGAAGACTTTACAATACACTAAATAGCATAAACTAACGTCAAAAAGTGAGTAAATAACGATGAGAGACTAAGATAATGTGTAAAACAACTTTATAGGGTGGGGGACTTCCACCATGACCGTCTCCTGACCGCAAGAAATCCTTTATCTTTTTCCCGAAAACGATCGCTTGAGTGTTATAATTGAATAAGGAATAGAGCTCCAAATTTGAGTACCGATTCTCGTGAAAAAGGCAGACATTTTATGGGTCCTAGAGAACTTAACAAAAAAAAGATTCGTTAGAGAGATATTTTTCTGTAGTTATTGATCATCAGCAACAACAACGAACAAAATAAAAAAAAAGGTTCAAACCTGTTTTCATCCCTGCCCTTAATCTCACATCTCAGTTGTGAAGGCACTGTATTCCATTGTTTTGCCAAGTGCACCATCATGCCACCATCCATAAGGCCAAAGCCAAAATATCTACTGAACCATAAACCAGCCTTGTTCTTTACCCAGAATCCACCGGTGAGCGGATTTCCTTTTGGTGCGTGTCTCGCACTTCTTACTATAATGTGTTGTACGTCACGCCATGTAAGGGAGGGGCTTAAAAATCAAACACAATAGTTTAAATAGCAAGTAAGTAACTTAGTAAGGCGCAATCAGGCAGGTAGACAGGTAGCAAGTAAGTAAGTAAGTAAGTAAGTAGGTAGGTAAAGAAGTAAGTAGTGCACTGCACAAAACTGCCATGGATAACTTTGACACTCAAAAAAAGCGTTTTTTTTTTTCTCACAACCACCACTTCATTTCAGCAGATTGTAACTATACACTATCCCTTCATAACCGAATTAGCACTCCCAGACTTCCACAACTACCTCACAAAAATCACTTTTACCTTCCAAAAAAATTTTGTTACTTCCTATCAAGTTCTATGAGAAACCAGTTCCACTGATTAACAAACTAGAGCTATTATCTTACAATCCACGTCAAATATAACTCCACGCCTTCCACTTCACACATCTCAACCAACCCATAAAATATACAACGCTACCGCACTACTCACACATCCCTATGTACTTAAAAAACTGCACATACGCCTCGTACGGCGACGCCTACATATACGCTCCAACAGCGTCTTGTTAAGTAACGAAGCAAGTAAGTAAGTAAGTAAGTAAGTTAGTAAGAGACTTAATTTCACGAGGGTGACAGGTGACAGTAATAACAACAACTGATAAGATTGTGGGCCTCTTAAAAAACAAAAATGCAATGATAAATAAACCTACCGCAGCAATAGCCTACACTTACAACCTACGCCAGGGTCATTTAAATCTTACACACCACATTTTTATGTTCAGGAGTACACAAGGGCACCGTCAGTCTAATGGAAGAGTGGGTCCTGGCCGGGGGTAGGTACTCGACAAAGTTTTTTGCGGGAAGGCTCCGCTAGAGTCCAACCTCGTAGTACCCTTTTATAAACCATTTTTGACTACTCTCTATTGACAAATGGTACCTCTTTCAGATACGTAGTTTAGGCCTTTGCATCACTCTTAACTGCTGACACTGTCTTTAAGGTGGCTGAACACAGTTTTGCGGGGGGTCAGCGGTAACTCGCGTGACGGCGCGTGTGTTAAATTAGACAAACAAACATGGCCGCAGAAAAGCAAGGGTACACAGAAAACGATTTCTCAAAATCTACTCATTAACATTTTGTGATACTTGGCAGAATTTTTACTTTTATCGTATTTTAAATAATGAGAACTTTAAAATGGAAGTTGAACAGACGAATTTTGTGACACATTTAATAATTACAGTACAATTATATTATTGATTATCTAAAAAGCCGTCGGTTAAAGTTTAATCAAATAAGTTTCAAATGGTAATGATTATTTATAGTAAACTGTGTGCAAGTTTATAGGAAAATCTAACGAGCCAATTTTCTGTATACTGAGCAAAAGTGAAATTTTAAGGTTGTATTCAATCGTTCATGTTGCCATGGAAACTACGAAAACGTCACATTTTACCTGTCAATCAAAATCTTTCATCAGTATATTTTTCACTTGCCAAGTTTCAGCTTGTGAACTGCACCCATTCTCTTGCCATGATTTGGCAAATGACATGTACCCACAAACTGCAAAACTGTGTTCAGCCAGCTTAAAACATGAATAAATCTTAAAAACCATACGTGTTCTCGACTTTTTCACAGCCATAAAATGTATCTGTAAGCCTTTTCGGACCTTTTTACAGACCGAAATGACAGATTTCCCTACTTTTTTGTAAGTCGACTAGTTAAATCCCTACCCTTTAATATACCTAACTTAAAACCTCAAAAAGTTACTCCTTTCAGGCGGAGCATAGGCCACTATAGGGGTAACCCCGGGGGTCCTTGTAGATCCACTTTTCTTACTATGAGCCTATAATGTTACACGACAGAAGATCAAACAACATTAAAAGCATTAAGACTTACTTTGCTTCTAGTGTCAATGCAATAAGACCTGAAGCCATCGCTGTAGCCGCTGATGTTGCTCCGAAATTTTCAGTGCATCCTGATTTCTGATCAGCTGTAATCTGAGGAATAGGATAGTAATTTAGCTAACAAAAATATGTCTAGACTGTTCCCTGAGTAATAACATGATGCTAATCTCCACAAAAAAGAAAAGGTCTAAGGGGGTTGAGGGGGTGGGGGTGGGGGTGGGGTATTCCCTTAAAGGGCCTAAACGGGTATGTGCCGCTGAAAAAGTTATGGTTTTCGGGGTCGAGTCTTAAACAAGGTATGCAATTGAACTGTTTATGAAGGTTGGCGATGAACGATCTACTTTTGTGGTAAGGATCAGAGATTTTGAAAGGACACTCTACCCAGACCTCCCTGGAGTGCCCTTACGGGCCTGGGGGCCTGTTTCTCGAAAGGTCCGGAAAGTTTTCGGGCCCAAAGGCAAATTTTAAAATCTAGACCTGTTGTTGTTAACAAATAGTTTCATTGTATCATTGTCAAAATTATTAAAACTTTGAACTTGAATGTAAGTACGGCAAACGCAACAGGACTTTCTAAAAACAAGCCCCTGGCCCATATATTATAAGGCTCATTGCATTTCCTTACGTGTAATTATGTCCAGTGTGGTCTGCTCGCTCGTCATGACACCAGTTATAGCTAGTTATAAGGTGTGGAAGTGCTCTACCTGGGGTTGAAACTAGACAGCTTCAACTATGGAATGTACAGGGGTTGAAGGAATGGTCGATAACGGTTCTCAGCCGAGTCGCGGAATCGGAAATTAAGGATTGGTGAGCATACCTGCTCACACGTCCTATTTACAACTTACAAATGCCAGTAGAAAAGAAAGAAAGGCCTAGTGGAATCACGCCAGTACAACCATCGCTTGTCATATTGTTGGGTTAAAGTCATATCCCTATACCTTATAGACAACAAGATACCGTAAAAAATGTTTTTATTGCACTATCAGTCTGCAAGATATCACGCATCACTTGAATGCTTTCAACAACTTTCGACAAAAACCGTCACGGTTTGTCGCATTGATTGAATTGCTTTTCTCACTTCAGCGAACCACTCCTACCGGGCATTCGACTGGTCGAACCAACAGTAACAGACGTAAAAATTGTGAACACGGGGGCTCAAAAAGCTGTTCGTTGTCATATTAACGAAGTTGTAGAATAGGGAAAGACTTTTGTCCCGAAAAACACATGGTTGTACTGAATATCTTTAAAAGGGTGCTCTTATGACGAGGCTCCGCTTTTGAGGTAGAAGTGCAAACAGCAAACCATATCCAAGTAATTTGACTACTTCACTTACAACTTTCCCTACTCCTTTGAATGGGTCCCTGCTGTAAGCAGACGCCATTATACTGGCACAGGCTTCCGCATAAACCGGTCTTGAGTCATCCAGGTTCACACCACTGATTGCAATAGTAAAAATACTATTGACATAACCATTATAGGCACAGCTGTCACCAATTAAGCCGCCATTTCCAGTTGCAAAGGTGTAGATAGCACCCTTGCCCCTACGACCCTGAAATACAAACAAGGCATAATCTATTTCAGTTGCACAATGACTTTTAGTGCTAGTGACTGAAAACATCCAACGGATGACGTGACCCTTTACGCACCCATGAGCAATAGGAGCCCAGCTGCCCGGTTAGCTACCCACCAACCATTGCTTTGCAAAAACCTGGTAGGATTTTGCTGGCTGAAAATAAAACCCTGTCCCAGTTAGCTTGTTCAGGTCAGTAGACATAACATAGCCGTTCGGCTGAATTTGGCTGATTGCATTATATTGTTCACAGCGGAGCTCCACGCGCGCGCGGAATTCAGTTTGCTTTCAGTAAACGGCAAAAGTTGAATGAATTGAGAAAGACATTTTATAAAGTATCCCTCGAGAGCTCTGCTTTTGGCCTTGGCTAAATCTATGTATCACCTGCTTTATACCAAGCTCGATAGCTCTTTCCGTAAGGGTTTCAGGGCCCTCAACTTCCACAGCGTTGTCCCCAGGTCCCCAACTGTTTGAATATATGTCAATTTTGTCCAGTTCATGGGACAGGGCAGATGCTCGTCCTGCATCGGTAGACCGGACTTGGTCATCAAAAAGGCGAATACCTGGAGAATAAGAAAGGTGCACAAACAATGTGAAGAATAACCGGCCTTCAATCATTTGTATCTTATTTTGGCACTGTATAATTGAGATTGACGTGATTGCATAACAGTTTGCTGGTCTCTCAATAGCGATGCTGGTTCTAACCTCAAACTCGACATCTAACCACTAATGTTTGAGCAATACTTTAATTTTATTTTCAATTTACGGTTATAAAATCTCTCCTCTCACACAACCTACGTCCCTCATTTCCAACCACTATTTTAGTAGGGACTTGGAAACCCGTTCATTAGGTGATTCCATACTTCGACACATGTCATGTCCCCCCTTCGGGGGTACTCCCATATGTGAAATAGATAGGCATGTCCTGCCCGATAGGGTTCTCCACCCTTAACTAGGGTATCGTTTTTGCCCTTGATAGCGATGTGTTTCTGTTGTGATCCTTACATACGGTACCGTTATTATATCAACCAAAATTCAGGTGCTAACGCCCAAGTAGGAGAGCAACAAACTATCTTTTAAAACTGAACTATCCCTTAGAGTAGTAGGGAGGCAATTTAATGAAGGTTTGTGTGTTACCATGAATTTCTTAGTTTTGTTTCTCCCTTGAATAGGGTGTAAATGTTCGTTTTTCTCATCCTTAAATAGTGTCTGGGCTTAAGACCATGGGCGGTACGCACTTACCCAAAGTTGTCGGAATGCTAGGTGAATCTACTGTTATTTTTCTATTTTTTGCCCCCGCAGGGATTTCGCCCAGAAGGCGAAATCCCGAGGAGGCACTGTAGTAACTCGCGCGTATATTAAGGAAAGTACTTACAGTTGAAATATACAGTCATGAAGTCAATGTGATAGAAAAAATCTCGATTTGCTTGAACAGGGGCCGCGAGGAATCGGTAGGTAATGATGACGTTTCTATTGTTTGCGCCCGCAAGTACGAAATGGTTAGGATGACGTAAAGACAGAAAATCCCGAAGGGACCGCTCAGGTAGATTTTGTGACATTTATTGAACAGTCATACTTCGATACTCTTTTGCGTTACGCAGTGACATTCTGTGGAGCAGTTGTTTTGAAACTTATGGACCAAAAGACACTCGTTAAGCGCAGATGAGGTTATAAGGTGCGTTTAATCGTGTATATATAAACACTTGGGGAGTTTACCAGACAAATCACAAATCTTTGATTTATATTGGAAACTTTGCCAGACACTCTTTCTCTCTCTTTGACCGGAATAAGACTCAGCCCTAAACAAGCTAAACGAGTGTACAACGGCTAGCTTATCACTAACAGAACGATGAACGATTACAGAAATTCGCCGACAATCAAATTCTGTGCTGACTTATTCCCTGCTCACAGATGTCCTTTCGTTATAAAGTTTCAAATAAGACTAGAATGCGCGAGCGTGAATCAGTCAAACGTCCTTTTAATTTCTAAGGCTTACTTTCCGGCAAATAAAATGAACTGAATGTAAAAAGTGAAAGAGAAAAAGCGAAAAATTCAACTTCTAATTAAATATTTTCTTATGGTTTAGAATAAAATATATCGAAACTGAGAATGTTTTGATCCAAGCTGTGTAAATCGAGCTGAAACTGTGCATGGAACCTTGCATTTCCTGTATTTATCTCACCTATTGTATGGAATATGTGTTAAAATCTTCATTATGAATCGGTATATTTCAAAGAGCTACACAACGAGCAAGAATACTATTGACCGAGAATATACAGAACGGGGGCAACTGTAGTGCCAACTATTACTATAGTTGAATATCGTGTATCGTGTATTAAAAGAGCAACAATACCTTATCATATTGCTCGCTCACTTCAGGCTCGCTCGCGCGGCAGCAATGAACCTGTCTAAAATAAGGGTTCAAAGGGACAATTCCTGCTACAGTTATAGCGAACCATCCAAAATAGCGCATGCACGCTATACGTGTCTTTGTTTGGAACGACTAAGAGAAGAGACTGTGTTCTCTGACTTTCCCAAACGTAAGATATCTTTCCTGACAAAATAAAAGATTCTTCTAACAAACACTCATACCCTTCTAAACTGTCTCAGTGTACATTAAAGCTCTTAGACCTCTTTGGTGAAACTGTCAGTGAAGAAGGCAATCACATCAAGCTACATGTACCTGCAATTTGGGCGTTGTATGCAATTCCTACGCCACACAAACTGTTATTAGCCACTCCGGCTATAACTCCAGCACAGTTGTTACCATGTCTAGGGAAAATTCAGGAGAAATTATCTTCACACGAATCCGAGTAAACGTGTACGTTTACGGCTTCCATGCACGCGTGAACGCCGGGATCGAAAACCGACATTTTCGAACATGGTCTCGGGCCCGTTTCTCGAAAGTCTCCGTAATTAACGGTCCCGGAAAGTCGTTGCTATTATTCCAGATAAATGTTTCAATAGTTTTTCGGATAACACAATAAAACTATTGATTAACAAAACAAAATAAAATTGCTTGTAAGCTAGGATCCGCGCCATTTTATTTATTTGATTTGAACATTTGATTTTGGACCCGGGACTTTCGAGAAACGGGCCCTTCGAGTAGAAAAAGAAATTTCTTCATTAATTTTCTACAAAGTACATCTTAAATCTCTCACGGCCGCACGAAGCAAACTAATTCTTCGAATCTGTCATATCAAGAATTCTCCCAACCCCTTCAGTGTTTTTATCTGAGGCTATGCAATTACAGGAAAAACGTTTTCTATTGCTTTATAAATTAACCACAAACAGGCTCCTTATGAATTGATCGCCTCCTCATTTCTTATCTAACCTCTAAGCAAGCTTGATTGAACGCTTTAAGATAGTTTTCTTGTTCTTCCTAATCAGAGGGTTTCAAACCCTTAAAAGCACCCCTTTGTCTACGAAAGAATACATATAAAACAGCCATATAAATGCAGACATACCCTGAAACTGTGCCATGCTTTGGAACTGGTATTGGATCATTGTCCACATAATCATGACTTACTGCAGAATTCTTGAAAAGAAAAAGTATAAATATAGTGCCATAAGTTTATACAAAATGGAACCTAAATATTCCATCAAACATTCTAAATGAACGAATGATGTTCCTGTATGAAATAAGAACCTGATACAGTATGACATACCCCCCCCCCCCGCCCCGGCCTTTAACATTAATGTTTCCCCCTCCCGATTGGCACCTCGTTACATGTTGCGTCCGTTTGCACAACCTGTTGCATGTTATTGGATGTTGTTGCGTGTTGTTGCGCAAAGTTTGAAACCGGTCAAACTTTTCGGCCAACAACTCGCAACATTTCTTTTGTTCTGTGATCACCGAAGCGTAGCGCAACAATGTTGGATCCCTTTGCACAGTTCTTCCAACAATGTAGGGGCCACGCATGCTCATTACGCATGGATTACAAAGACCCATGGGTTGTATTCTTCTCACGATGCACTGCAGGTCCCAAACTTGTTGGGAGTTGTTGCATCTGTTTGCACACCACTGCCAACACGCACGCAACAACTCCCAACATTGTTGGCGCAACAATGTTGGGAGTTGTTGCGCCATTTGCATGCAGCCTTAGATGTAGTGAGAGCGAAAAACCTGCCATTTTACATGGTCATCCAAGCCACGCGAAGGTCTAAGCGTATGGTTAGTCTATATACCTTCATTACTCAGTTTTGCAGTCAAGCGCTCCATCGACAGAGATAGTCTTACCGCGGTTAAAAATATGAATACAAGAATATTGACATCATGAATAATATGTTTACTTAGAAATTTGACTCTGATTGATAGAATTGCAAAGTAGTAGCACCTTTGGTCAGCTATTAATCAGACCGAGTTGCAGGCACTTTTAAATACTCTATAGAGTGACTGAACAAATCAATCAAAACGTGAATGATTTTCTTGCTATAAATTGCAGCGGCATATAAAACCAAAATCTGATACGTTGATCTTGGCTCTCACTATTTTGAAGAGGGCAGGGGAATAAAAATAGAAAAAACCCTGAGATTTCAACTTTCCAGATAAGGTCGGTGTATTGCTTTTTAAGTGGCCTGGCTTCAAATCTTAATAGCCCTGAGAAATCCCACAGTAGACCTGGGGCCCGTTTCTCGAAAGTCCCGGTAACTTTACGGACCCGAAATCAAATATTCAAATCGAAATATAAAGAATAAGAGCGCGGGTCCTGGCTAGCAAAACTACTCCATTTAGTTTCATTAACTGACAGTTTGATCATGTTAGATGCAAAACTATTGAAACCTCGATCTTTACTGTAAACGGAGACAGCTTACCGGGCCCGTTAATTATCGGGACTTTCGAGAAACGGGCACCTGCACCGTTCTTAACCTCTTATTTTACTGGTCCCCTTTTCAGGGATAGGGGCATTGTTGTGTGACAATCCCTATTGTTTTCCCAGCTAATCAAAGACACTTTTTCAAATAGCTGCGGGATCGCCCAAATCAAAGCCCCCAGGCCTGGATGAAAGCCCCATAGTTAAGCCATAGAAAATGTTTTCCGTGTCAGCATAGCCTGATATAGACACGAGAGGGGTTGGGAGAATTCAAGACAGTCATGCAAACCCGAGACGAAGTCGAGGCTTTGCGTAACTGTCGAGAATTCTCCCAATCCCTCGAGTGTTCATATCAGGCTATGCAAACACAGGAAAAAAGTTTTCGATTGCTTTTATAAAATAACTTTCCCGAGAAAAAACGCAAACTCTTTGTTATGGTACTGATTAAAAGAGAAATTCTTACCAGTCGCAAAGTCTTATAGAGTGTTTTCACTCACGTGGCCAGGATATATGCAAATTTATTGGAACAAAAGAAAGCGTTTACATAAGAAAAGAGTTCAACTCCCACAAGACTGGTTTGGGACACCAACATGGCCACCGTTTCATTGTTTTGGGACACCAATATGGACGCCGTGACGTCATGTGAAAACACTCTATACACGAAGTCTTGCTCTCGTAATCAGTTCTTGTTTTGCAAAAAGATTCTTTCGAAAATACGGATTTTTCTCGCTTAAAATGTCAGCTTAAGAGAAAAAAAATTGACACACCTTCTTTGTAACGATTTCAAAGTTTCAGCCGACGAAGGAATGGGTAAATAAAGTAAACTTGTCGAGTTTTGAACTTGAAAATTTTTTCAAATTTGTGCTTGGGTGATTAGCACGTGAAAAGCAAAACATCTTGACGCCACAACCATGTTTACATACTCTCATGCAAACACTCCTCTCGGCTAATCAGAGCGCGTACTATCTTAGTTATTTTATAATAATTCTTCGTATATACTTCAAGTCCTTCAACATGGAATCTGTGCGTAGCAGTTTGCATATGAAGTACAGTAAACACCCGCCGCCCGCGTATAAGAACAAATGAATTAAGAACATCAGGATGAAATTTGGCCCATAAAGCACCATATAGAAGAACCAGTTTAGCTTGATAAACAAAACATGTTCTTATATAACTATGGTTACAATTATAACAGTCGGGTTGTCTTTAGGATTTTTGTTTACTTACTTGCTTATTTATTTATAATAAAATATGCTAACAAAAAAAACTGGTAACATCTTATGTGTTGTATTTCTGAGACAAAGTTTAAGGAAACATTAAGAACATCTTCATGCTGTTTTCTTACTAAGCGCCCAATAAATAAGAACAAGAAGTAGTATAGGAGGGATGTTTTACTCCACTTTTTTGAAGTGGAATCTCATTAGTTTGAAGGCGCATAAATTAATGCCAATGACGTCATACGCCTCATTAGGATACGATGATGTCATAGTATATTTTAAGTTGGCTATGAGCAAGTGACGGTTTTTTGCGCAGGAATTTCATTACCTTGCGCAGGAATACATTAATGCCAATGATGTCATAACCTTTTGTCTTTATCTCATGAATAAAATGCGCAGGAATCTCATAAAGATAAGGTCACGTGCTATTTTTAAATGGATGATGTCATTGCCTTTTGTCTTTATCTCATGAGTAAAATACGCAGGAAACTCATTATTTTCCCTTCTGTGTATTTCTCATACAATAGAAACAATAGGCTTGCCTAGACTTGCCCGGTAAGTAACTTGAGCCCGGTTTAAACGTCTATTAAAAGAGAAATGGGGTAAGAAAGCGATCGCCTAGCAACGCGAGGAACGGCTTACTATATCTTATTTAGCGCTAAAAAAATCGGATATATCACCAAAACACTTTTACAATATGGAGTTACGGTTATTCAGTTAATTATGCGAGTTCACAAGCCCAAAGTTGAATACAAATTAGTTCTACAAGGAAAAACCCCATGGGAAAACCGTGACCTTGTTATTAGTATAAAAACAATTTAAAATAACTTATCATGGATCAATTAAAACACGCGACAAATAAATTGACAAGACAAGAGATACCGTTTTAAAAACTTTATTAAAAACCAATGACAAAAAGAGTCAACTACACAGCGATTTCAAGCGGATGGAATTTAATTAATCTTCATCTTCTTCGCCCATGGAGTACGTGTAAGGTTTGAATTTCTTATGCCAACGTTTCCTCAGCTGTTTGCCATGAGCTTTATGATCATCCAAATAATGTACAAATTGAATCCGACGCCTTTTGCGCTTCGGGCCTTGTTGTGATGGGGTTTCTACTATGGGAGAAGGGTCTGTCTCATTATTTTAGGTAAAATTGGTTTTTTATGGTGGCTTCCGGTCGCAACAGCGCGTGGCGAACTTGAAATATTCAGGCCAGCAAATGTCATGGAATAGCATGCCGTAGGACCTCAACCGGCATATAAACCTTTAAAGACAGTTTGATAATTCCTTTAGGATCCATTGTAGTGAAGAAGTGGGTGTTTTTGTATATGTATTCTGCCACTTCTTAATAAGGCTTTTTTCTGTTTACGTTTGACAATGATCCTTAGCTGGCGTTGCGTTGCGAAAAATATAGAGATGTCTTTGTTATTTTTACTGTTTGTTGGCGACAGAGGTCACTTTGTACTTTAACGGTCTCGGTATTTTCGACTGCATAAGCCGAGCTTGTTGAAGTAAAAGCATGTACGGTCACCGTACCGCGTACGGTTAATGTTCTGCATGGATGAATTATTGAACTGACAATATGAGCACCACGATCACAAACAAGCAACGAAGAGAAATCTCACACCTAGAATATGTATTTATTTCAAGACAAGTACGTGGAAATCGTTTGTTAATCCATGGAAAGCTTTATCAACGCACGTTAAAACAGGACGTACTGAAGCAAAGACCTTCCTTGCTACTAAGCTTCTACTTCTAAAAACATTTGCGTGGACTGCCTTGCTATCGTAAGGCTAGTTACTTTGACTTAACAAGAGATATATTTGGAACAGTAAAACGAAAATCGTAAATAGATCGACACAGCAAAGGTACGGAAGGTTTTATCGGCAAAACAAGTCGCTTTCCACCGTTGTTCAACTGTCACGTCCCTGTTGAACTGATAGGATCACGTGCGTTCGGAATCTTGATAATATAGTATAAAGCGATGCATCCTGGGATATATGAAATTCCCCCTTTCACAGAAGGGAAAATAAGGAGATTCCAGTGTATTTAACTCATGAGATGAAGACAAAAGGCAATGACATCATCCATCTATAAATGGCACATGACCTTATCTTTCTGAGATTCCTGCGCATTTTATTCATGAGATAAAGACAAAAGGCTATGACGTCATAGGCGTTAAAGCATTCCTGCGCAAGTTAATGAAATTCCAGCGTAAAAAACCGTCACTTGCTCATAGCCAACTTAAATTAACTATGACATCATCCTATGTTAATGAGATGTATGACGTCATTGGCGTTAATTTATGCCACATCAAACTAATGAGATTCCACTTCAAAAAAGTGGAGTAAAACATTCCTCCTATACTACTACTAGATCAGCCTGAACCCCGAAATCGTGTGTTCTTATATAAATGCGGGTGTTTACTGTAAAGTGTAAAAACAAAACATAAACACGTGTTTCAGTTTCACTGGGACGTGACATCAATCATCAATTTTAATGATGACAAAGAAAAGTTACTATGAACTTTCTAAACTAGAGTAAATATAAAAATAATATTGAAATCATTACATAGTTTGAAGAAAGTTCAGGATGATTTCCATCAACTCCATTATCAACTACTGCCACCAACATTCCTCTTCCTGTGTATGCGGGCCAGACAGAAGTGATGTTGAAAGTAGGATTCTGTGGTCTTGTCTATAAAAGGGAAAAAATCATGCCTTTGAGAAAAAACAAATAGCTGATTTTGAGCTGTTCAATTGCAAAGCCTATTCACTTTGCTTGAACAATTTTTGCCCAGGGATGTAAAATAAGTGAACCGTCGGCTTCAGTTTTGTTACCCAGATGATGGCTAATTTGGGCTGTAATAAATCAATGAAATATCTTACTTTCTTTACAAGAGCTGAAAATAAACAGAAAAGTGAGTGACTTACGAGGTACCATTGTTCCTCAAACAAAAGATCATTAAATCTTGGAGACAAAAGTTGATAACTTTTCTCTTTCTGTTGCGTAAACCACTCAATCTGAAAAAAAATTAAGTGAAAATCATTACATGTACTAAAGAAAAATTGGATGGTCTGACGCACTCTAAATCCTGTCAGTTCAGCTATATTACACTATAATTATGAAAAGTATTTTTCACCAACTGACATGTATTAAAAATACCATCTGGTCAGCAGGACATACCTGCCTAGGCTAAATAAGGGGGAAGCAAAGTTACTTGTTATTATTACTGCAAATGTTGGACCTTACCTTTGGTTCATCATCTAATACTCTGTCAATATCCACTGACTCAGCAGTCTTTTCTGGTGTTTCCTCTAATTCTGGTCTTTTAATAATGTGATAGTCCTCAAAAAGCTGAGAACAGTTCAGTCAAATATATTTCAGTAAATGTCATGTATTGTAAATTATTTACGTTAAATTCACACCTCAAACAAACAGGCCCCTGACAATTTGAAAGATTTGAACCCAGGAGTCATTTCATAAGTAAGTGAAGCATGACTGTCTGGCTGAGCATAATCCTGACAGTGACTGATGTTTCAACAACCTGTGCGGTAGACATTTTGAGAGTCAAAGTGAGTTGTATCGCGTCAGTTGATTGGTCATAAACTCTGGCTATTTACCTGATTGGTCAATCAAGTTGCGTTGTTATAGGTCATCTGTCAGTTAAGCTGTGATGTTATTGGCTATATCCCTACAATAGCACCTTTGACACCTAACTTGCACAGAGGGAAGTGAAACAATGACATTCAGTCAAACAGGCCAGAGAAAATAAGTAACTTTGGCTAGAAATTCCTACAAAAATCTTGTTCTACCACCCTCCTAGCCCCACATGCAGAAGTTCTTAGGGCTTCGTTATGCGTTCCTTCCCCACGATTCGGCTGCTGAAACAAGTGGTTAATTCCTTTCCCTTTTACTTTCAAGCAACTCAGCTATTATTATGAAAGGGATCTATTTCATGATGCGGTGAAACAAAAAACGCTTTGCAGCGAATCAACTTCATGAAGCAGTGAAACGACCGGACACCCTGTTATTACTTGGTGTTACGGTGCACGAATTTATGCTAATTAGTATATGCCAATGTCTATGACATATAATGATAGTATCATGGAGTCATGGTTTCATAGGTCTCGTGGTGTCAGTGGTTTCATAGTTTCATGTGTTTCGTGGTTTCATAGGTTTAGTGGTGTCAATAGTTTCATGGTTTCATAGGTTTCGTGGTGTCAATGGTTTCATAGTTTCATGGGTTTCGTGGTGTCAATGGTTTCATGGGTTTTTAGGTTTCGTGGTGTCAATGGTTTCATGGTTTCTTAGGTTTCGTGGTGTCAGTGGTTTCATGGTTTCATAGGTTTCGTCGTGTCCATGGTTTCATGGTTTCATAGGTTTCCTGGCGTCAATGGTTTCACGTGTTTGGTGGTGTCAATGGATACATGGTTTCATAGGTTTCGTAGTGTCAATGGTTTCATGGTTTCATAAGTTTCGTGGTGTCAATGGTTTCATGGTTTCATAGGTTTCGTGGTGTCCATGGTTTCATGGTTTCATAGGTTTCCTGGTGTCAATAGTTTCATGGTTTCATAGGTCCCGTGGTGTCAATAGTTTCATGGTTTCATAGGTTTCGTGGTGTCAATGGTTTCATGGTTTCATAGGTTTCGTGGTGTCCATGGTTTCATGGTTTCATAGGTTTCGTGGTGTCAATAGTTTCATGGTTTCATAGGTCCCGTGGTGTCAATAGTTTCATGGTTTCATAGGTTTCGTGGTGTCAATGGCTTCATGGTTTCTTGGGTTTCGTGGTGTCAATGGTTTCATGGTTTCATAGGTTTCGTGGTGTCAATGGTTTCATGGTTTCATAGGTTTCGTGGTGTCAAGGGTTTCATGGTTTCATAGGTTTCCTGGCGTCAATGGTTTAATGTGTTTGGTGGTGTCAATGGATACATGGTTTCATAAGTTTCGTGGTGTCCATGGTTTCATGGTTTCATAGGTTTCGTGGTGTCCATGGTTTCATGGTTTCATAGGTTTCGTGGTGTCAATGGTTTCATGGTTTCATAGGTTTCGTGGTGTCAATGGTTTCATGGTTTCATAGGTTTCGTGGTGTCAATGGTTTCATGGTTTCTTAGGTTTTGTGGTGTCAATGGTTTCATTGTTTCATAGGTTTCGTGGTGTCAATGGTTTCATGGTTTCATAGATTTCGTGGTGTCACTGGTTTCATGGTTTCATAGGTTTCGTGGTGTCCATGGTTTCATGGTTTCATAGGTTTCGTGGTTTCATAGGTTTCCTGGTGCCAATGGTTTCATGGTTTCATAGGTTTCGTGGTGTCAATGGTTTCATGGTTTCATAGGTTTCGTGGTTTCATAGGTTTCCTGGTGTCAATGGTTTCATAGTTTCATGTGTTTCGTGGTTTCATAGGTTTCTTGGTTTCTATGGTTTCATGGTTTCGTAGGTTTCGTGGTGTCAAGGGTTTCATGGTTTCATAGGTTTCGTGGTGTCAATGGTTTCATGGTTTCATAGGTTTCGTGGTGTCAATGGTTTCGTGGTGTCGATGGTTTCGTGGTTTCATAGGTTTCGTGGTGTCAATGGTTTCATGGTTTCATAGGTTTCGTGGTGTCAATGGTTTCATGGTTTCATAGGTTTCGTGGTGTCAATGGTTTCATGGTTCCATAGGTTTCGTGGTTTCATAGGTTACCTGGTGTCAATGGTTTCATAGTTTCATGTGTTTCATGGTTTCCTAGGTTTCGTGGTTTCTATGGTTTCATGGTTTCATAGGTTTCGTGGTGTCCATGGTTTCGTGGTTTTTTAGGTTTCGTGGTGTCAATGGTTTCATGGTTTCATAGGTTTCGTGATGTAGATGGTTTCATTTTCTCATGTTTTTGGTTTCATAGGTTTCGTGGTGTCAATGGTTTCATGATTTCATAGGTTTCGTGGTGTGAAGGGTCTCATGGTTTCATAGGTTTCGTGGTGTCAATGATTTCTTGGTTTCGTAGGTTTTATGGTGTCAAAGGTCTCGTGGTTTCATGGGGTTCATGGTGTCAGAGGTTTCATGGTTTCATAGGCCTCTTGGTGTCAAGTAGCCTCCCCTCAGACGTCTTTTGGGGTTTGTTCGTCACGCGTTCATTTCTCCCCCACGGACGTCTGCTAAACACAGCCGACATTTACGTTCACCGATCAGTGAGGCTTTTGATCGGGTGTGCGAGAAATTTGTAATGAATGCAGAGTTAAACAAGTATCAGAGAGACGCTATCCTGCAAATTTTATAGAGAAGACCGATGAGTTCATAAATTTGCCGACGGGATTTGGTAAATCCCTTATCTATCAAGCTTTGCCGCTTGTTTGCGACACTGCTTGGAACTCCTGGACATTATTGTTGTTGTTTCGCCCCTGGTAAATCTTATGAAAGATCAAGCTACAAAGCTGGAAAATATTTGTATTCCTGCTGTAGTGCTCAGTGATATGTATTTTTTAAATTCAATTTAATTTATTTAAAACACTTGAAATTACAAAGTACTTACTTACAATACTTACTTACAAACAATGTATGTTACTTAAGCTACTAACAAAACTATACTCTACTTGCAAAACAATACTTATTTACAATGTGAGATACTTACGCTACGAACAATACTATACTCTACTTACGATACAAAACTTGCAATACTTACTTACAATGAGATACGTACACTGGTAACAGTGCTATACTCCACGCTTTACATATATATAACAGCTACTTGCACTACTTACAATACGGATTACATACGCTACAAAAACCAGAAAATAAAGGGGGCGGGAAAGTATGGTAAATTTTAGTTAACTGTAGTTTTAACTCAAAGGAGAAAAAAGAGATTAAAGATATTTTCTCTGCTGATTCACTGAAAATTAGCTTTATATGCTTTGAATGTTGAAGCGAAGAAAATAGGAAGGAAATGTCTGGCAGGAAGGAAAGTGTAAAAAGAGCGAGAGACCCCAAACTGATAAAAGATTACTAAAGAGGGAAAGGTTCAATTTCTTTATTATGTTGTTTTAAAAAAGGCTTAAAATTTTCAATAGTTGGAATATTTCTTTTGCTTCTGCAAAGCCAAATGTAGAATCTCGCAAGTAACAGAACGAAGTTAACTGCGGCTTTGTTTTTGGAAGTATCAGGCATCGGACCCAAGACGACAAGACTGTTAAGGAGATAGTCGTTGGATAAAAGTTTGCGATCCGTTAGAAAGGCAATAAGGTGTTTCCAGAAAAGTTCTATTTTGCTGCAGAACCAGAGTTTTCCGCTTCTTCATGGCAAAGTGAACATCTAATGTCATCTTTGTATCCCATTTTGACTAAAGATACGTTTGTTGCCAAAGTTTGATGAAGGAATCTAAACTGAAATTCAGTCAGTTTGGTGCTTTTGGTACATTTAAAAGCGGTCATATATGAGTTTTGCCAGATTAAATCACGAGCTTCTGGGAAAACTTTGCTCCATTTCTCCTGACTAGAAATTTTATAGTTACATTTTAATTCCACCAGTTTTTGATAAGCTAGTCTGCTGGGCTTTTTCGATTTTAAAAAGGCGGTTGTGAAAGACTCTTGTTCTTTACAGTTTAGTGGTACATTTGGTAGTTTTTTGATTTTTCCAGAGCTCTCGGAGGGTAGATGTCATTCCATAGAATGTCAAAGGGCAAACCTTTGTCTGATACTTTTTTTTCAAATTCTGTTGGTGACAAGAAAAAAGTACTTGGTTTTTCCTTAACGATTTGATTCACCTGAGAAATGCCCATTTGATACCAACTTTTATAGAAGACCAGTTTGTCCATAACTCTAATCAAAGAATTATACCACAGGCTTTGTGTGAGGAAGGACTCCACCGTTTCTATTGAACCTTGATAGTTTAATTCCTTGGTTTAAGTCCTTGGTCCGCGACCCATGACCTTGGTGGAATTACATTCGCAAAAAAAGGAAACGGCCTTTGTTTTCGAAGAATGCTTTGAAAATCTTCCCTATACAAGTTTACAAGTTCTCTTTTTTTATTACTTCGAATATATACAGATTTAATAGTAATTGATATTGACCGTGCTGAAAACCGCTCCGCGCTCGTGTAGGAGACTGTTGTCTGAAGTCTTTCAAAGAAAAGCAGACTATTTTATCCTTACAACAACTTCCCAAAAAACTATACAGTTGACTAGCATAACAGGCCAGAGCCCCGATTTTAGTACGCGCAGGAGGAGGCCTAATCTCCACAGCAACCACCGCAGATCGGTTTCCAATAACAGACAAGCGTTACTTTCGTAATTAGTTTTAAGCATTCCTCCAGACACCTTTGAAGAGCGCCGGACACGTTGCCTGTCAAGGAACTTTGTACTTCTGATTAAATGAACCAGACATCTCAAGGAAACGCGAAATTTGATCAGACTATTTGGGATTATAAATTCATTTCACGGTCGAAGTCGACCTTCGCGGCTGGCTTCGCAATTGATAACTACAGTTTTCTCGCCGCATTTGGATTCAAATAGGCTTGATACGCTTTCAAAGGCTTTTCAAGTGCTCTCTTTTAAGAAAATAGTGTTCCCATGGCTTATTTAACTTCTTTCAAGAGTAGTATGCCGTGTCAACATTGGTGACCTTCGAAGCGAAAACGGCGAGTCGGCGTATCAATTTTTTACTGTGGAGCCACATGTAGGAATACACTCTCTGCTGGCACATCTTTCTCTGGTTTGGAAGGAACTCTGCGTGGAAAAGACCCTGACCAAAGAAATTTTTAAATCTTCTCTATTTGAACGTTTGAGAAAAGCCGTCAACAATGCACATTTTATAGTCGCCGGTGTAAACGAATGCGAGAGCGCGAGCTCTACTTCAAATCTCCTTGAGGAACAGCAAAGCCGATTATCTGATTCAATGGACGACCTTTTTTATCAAACGGCGAAGGATTCAAGTCTTTTTTCTCTGGCTTAAGACGATGTAAGCGTCCATGTGCCTCCAGTGACAAATCACTCTCCAAAAAGCCCGCCAAGCACTGTCGAAATTCCGCCAAAATTCTTATTCGCTGGCAGGAGCCCAAGACGCTGGATTACTCCAGATATTCTAGCTTCCACTTCAACATCTTCGCGTTCGCTTGGGCGATCTGTATAATCAGCGTCACAGATACAGTATGGTTTCTATATCAGTCATTTTAGCCTCCTTGAAATGTCAATCATAATCCAAAAATAATTATTACGGGTTACCTTCGTATTGTTACTTGTTTTTTACTTAATAGGCCAAATTATAGGGCTACCCTCTCCCTCAGAGCTTACAAGCGGCGCGTCCAAGATTCTGAGGTGAAGGTAGTCTCTCTTTTGAAATGTCCGTCATAATCCAAATACTTTTGTAGATGATTTTTGTAGTGTCATTTGTTTCTGAAATAGGCCAAATTATGGGGCTACCCTCTCCCTCAGAGCTTACAGGCGGCGCGCCCAAGATTCTGAGGTGATGGTAGTCTCTCTTTTGAAATATTGGTCATTATCCAAATTATTATTGTAGGTCATCTTTGTACTGTCCTTTGTTTCGAAATAGGCCAAATTATGGGGCTACCCTCTCCCTCAGAGCTTACAGGCGGCGCGACCAAGATTCTGAGGTGATGGTAGTCTCTCTTTTGAAATGTCGGTCATTTATCCAAATTATTATTGTAGGTAATTTTTGTAGTGTCATTTATTTTTGAAATAGGCCAAATTAATTACGGGGCTACCCTCTACCTGAGAGCTTACAGGCGGCGCGCCCAAGATTCTGAGGTGAAGGTTGTCTCTCTTTTAAACTGTCAGTCGTCAACCACAGTATTATTTAATTTTCATTTTCCAGAGTTCATAGTGGTACCTTCTTTATAGTTTTACGTGATTCGTGGCAAAGACAAGACCAGGCTAACAAATTTATTCTAGTTTTAACGTGATGCGACAATCACCGTGGCTGACTGGCCTCCAAAGTTCCTTTATAATTTGGACGCTTCTCAGGAGTTTCTTCACTGCTTGTAATCCAGAATTGGCTATTCTCAGCAGCTTGAAGATGTTGCATTGCATCAGTTGTTCCTTGGACGGCGACCTTTTCTTGTCCCGAGTACAATATCGATTCTCGATTCTCGACTCTCGATTACCGTATCTTGCTCGTGCAAGGTTTCGGCAACGGGACCAGTACTAACACCATTGCTGGAAAACTGTTTGGTAGAAGAAGAGTAAAATGGTGGCTTCGGCGCGTTACCTGTCTGATGCTCGGTATATCACTGCCAAACTGCGCTACAGAATGCGCGAAAAACCCCTCCGGTACTTGAAAAAAAAGAAAAAAAAACCTGAGCGATATAATTTAGTAACTTATTCATGGTGTTGAGCTTCCGGTTTATTCAGCTTATTGCCAGTTGTAGGCAAAGTTCACGCGCACATTATCGCGCTCTAACTGGGTTGATTGTGAGGAAACTCTTATGTCAGTCATTGACTACCCCCCCCGCGTTAAGCCTTTGTGCGACGGACGTCCCTTAGAAATATAAATTACCCACACTGATCGCCAATTCTACTTGCAAAGTGTTGAGGATTGGGTTGTGTAATGTATTCTAGAGTGTAAATTTAGTTCTAACCTCGCAGACAAGGATGCAATGAGACATTTATTTGCGTAGTTAGGCCTACTATCCATTGGGCAAGCATCCCTTTTATTTTCTTTCGATAGCCTGTCCATGCACTAACCTTTGGATACAGAAACTAGCTGCCTCTCGCTGTACCAAAACTTGATAGTTTTGGCGTTCAATATTCTTAACGGGTGCTCACAAAACACCGGGACTGCATCGCGCGCCTTTGGCGCTTTGGTACCCTGCAAGCTTTGGTTCATCGCGTTTTGAAAGATGGAAATTTTGATATTCCCGCGTAAAAGAAGACCGATAAAACGTGTCTTTCATTGACTACAGTGAAACGCCCGGAAATGAAGAACGTTTTGAAAGAAACGGGAAAACTGATAAAAGTAAATATTTTTTGTGATAAGTGAAATTAATGAGAAATAACCATAAACCAGTTTTGTTGTTTTGTTTTTTAAAAGCGGTTTGTCTGGTACCAGATTTGTACAATTACTTTCAATAAAACATGGATCGGGTTTTGTTAACTATGACAGAATGTAATTAAAAAGTATTATGTTGACAGCTACAAGGCACATGCTTGCCTTAAGCTGCGAGTATCCCGCCATGTTTTAAACAAAGGGCCTCTAACCAAGCCGGCATTCTAATCCGCCACAAATATGTGATGCACGCGTCTTTCAAAGTCGCCTAGTACTTAAAATCGGGGCTCTGGCCTGTTATGGCTCTATTGCATCATTACTGTGATTTTTTCAAAACGTTTGAGTCGTCTCAGGTGGAAGACAGCTGTGCAAATAAAAAATTAATTTGACGTACACAAAGGCACATCAACGTCCAGAGCACGTTTGATGAGCCTTGCGATGTCGACTGCGCTTTTTGCAAACACACGAACTTAGTCCTTTCCTAAATTACAGCTACAAAGAAAACAAAAAAAATTCGCTTCTTATAACTTTCTTCGGAGTCTCATCCATGCATGCGCATGGAATAAATGTTCCTCTAACAAAACGAGAAATAATTCGTAGGTGCCGTTTCACTTGTATCACAGCTCGTTACTGGCTGATCGTGACACAATAACTAACGGCTTAGTGGCTTATTGAAACAAAAAAGAACGTAAATGTCGGCTGTGTTTAGCAGACGTCTGTGGGGGAGAAATAAACGCGTGACGAGCGAATCCCAGAGGACGTCTACGGGGAGGCTAGATGTCAAGGGTTTCATGGTATTATAGTTCTGTCCATGGTGTCATTTGAAAATACTAAGTTACCGTCCACCATGGGTTTCTTGGTTCCACCGGTTTCGTGGTTTCATATATATCGTTGTTTCAAAGGTTTTGTAGTTTCATGGTATGGTTTATTGGGTTTGTTAATTTCATGGATAATTTAGTAAATGAACCTCTTCCGGCGGCTAGTATATCGAAGGATAATGCCCGTGGCTGAGAGAAAGAAACATTTAAATGTGAAATTATAATCCTCTGATTATTTTTTTACATCTCTAACATGTTGGGAGAGAAAAAAAGAAACAAACAAACAAGAAGTGAGCGCACGTGCGAACGACGTAAACAAGCACTTTGATTGGTTGATTTTTTTTTATTGAAACTGTGATTGGACCAGGGCTTGACAGGCTGTCATGTCAAATGAACTCTCGCAACGCCCCATAGATAAAAACTAGAGCGCATCACTTTTAGTTTATATTTTACCGACAGCGCTTTTTTGAAAACTACTCAAAAAACTGTTTGTAATGTATAAGTAGAGAGAATCCAACAATATCACTAACTGCCGCTGCAAGGGCTAGAAAAGTAATTACAACTATGAAACTGACAGGAACTTAAAAACATGGAGCAGTTGAAGGATGTAAGTTTGACATAAGTGGGCTTGTTGGAAAAACCTTTATTTAATGCTGCGGACGGTGGAAGCTGTGGAAGTCAAAGAAAGAAAAGGTAGAAGGAATGAAACAAACTTGCTTTTATCTCCCACTCTGCTGTTCTCTGGTTCAATATGGTTGAATCTGCAACCGTTCTTGGAGAAATTTTTTCGATCACCAAAGTACTTGTCCGTACTCCGTATTGGCGTTCCGTATTCCTGCCCTGTCAACTTTTACAGCACTTCTGTTTGCTCTCCCCCGAAAAATGACTTCTTTGCCGTGAATCAGGAACGCCTCTACTGAAGGATTTCAGTAGTGCGTGAGCTTTTAAAAGTTTATCTCTTAATCTCTTGAACGCACCCTCCGTGCTAACTTTCCAGCAACGTGGCCCCTTCTTAATACCTACGACTTGCAAATCCTATCCAAACGCAAGGTGTCGCAAATAAAAGCTACTGTGAAAAATCTAGTAATTAACAATTAACGTTTAACGGTTTACAATAGATCCTGATGAGAAATGAATATTTTACAGAATTAGTATTATAACGAACAACAAAATTACAAACAACAGCAATAAAAGTTACGTAGTCGCCTCCTACGAAAACAATATGTTTAAACAAAAGAAACCTGCATACGAGAAATAACTATTTTCAATTAAGCATGACACTATGAAACCATTGAAACCACGAGACCCATGAAACCTTTCACACCACGAAGCCTATGAAAAAAAGAAACCCTTGACACCACGAAATCTATGGAACCATTGACACCACGAAACCTATGAAACCATGAAACCCATGAAACTATCAAACCTAAGAAACTATGCATCAAACCTTTGACACCACGAAGCCTATAAAACCACGGAACCCATGAAACTGTGAAACCTATAACTATGAAACCTTTGAAACCATGAAACCCATGAAACTGTGAAACCTATGAAACCACCAAACCTTTGACACCACGAAATCCATGAAACCACCAAACCTTTGACACAACGAAACCTATGAAACCATGAAACCTATGAAACTATTGACACCACGAAACCTATGAAACCATGAAACCTATAAAACCATTGACACCACGAAACCTATGAAACCATGAAACCCATGAAACCTATGAAACCATGAAACCATTGACACCACAAAACCTATGAAACTATCGACACCACGAAACCCATGAAACCATGAAACCATGAAGCTATGACACCATTAACACCACGAAACCCATGAAACCATGAAACCCTTTACACCACGAAACCTATGAAACCATGAAACCAAAGAAACCACGAAACATATGAAACCACCAAACACTTCAAATCATGAAACCATTGACACCACGAAACCTAAGAAACCATGAAACCATTGACACCACGAAACCTATGAAACCATGAAACCATTGACACCACGAAACCTATGAAACCATGAAACCATAGACACCACGAAACCTATGAAACCATGAAACCATTGACACCACGAAACCAATGAAACCATGAAACCATTGACACCACGAAACCTAAGAAACCATGAAACCATTGACACCACGAAACCTATCAAACCATGAAACCATAGACACCACGAAACCTATGAAACCATGAAACCATTGACACCACGAAACCTATGAAACCATGAAACTATTGACACCACGAAACCTATGAAACCATAAAACAATTGACACCACGAAACCCATGAATCTATGAAAGCATTGACACCAGGAGACCTATGAAACCATGAAACCATAGACACCACGAAACTTATGAAACCATGAAATTATTGACACCACGAAACCTATGAAACCATGAAACCATTGACACCACGAAACCCATGAAACTATGAAAGCATTGACACAAGGAGACCTATGAAACCATGAAACCATAGACACCACGAAACCTATGAAACCATGAAACCATTGACACCACGAAACCTAAGAAACCATGAAACCATTGACACCACGAAACCTATGAAACCATGAAACCATACACACCACGAAACCTATGAAACCATGAAACCATTGACACCACGAAACCTATGAAACCATGAAACCATTGACACCACGAAACCTATGAAACCATGAAACCATAGACACCAGGAAACCTATGAAACCATGAAACTATTGACACCACGAAACCTATGAAACCATGAAACTATTGACACCACGAAACCTATGAAACCATGAAACCATTGACACCACGAAACCTATGAAACCATGAAACCATTGACACCACGAAACCTAAGAAACCATGAAACCATGGACACCACGAAACCTATGAAACCATGAAACCATTGACACCACGAAACCTATGAAACCATGAAACCATTGACACCACGAAACCTATGAAACCATGAAACCATTGACACCACGAAACCTATGAAACCATGAAACCATAGACACCACGAAACCTATGAAACCATGAAACCATTGACACCACGAAACCTATGAAACCATGAAACTATTGACACCACGAAACCTATGAAACCATGAAACAATTGACACCACGAAACCCATGAATCTATGAAAGCATTGACACCAGGAGACCTATGAAACCATGAAACCATAGACACCGCGAAACTTATGAAACCATGAAATTATTGACACCACGAAACCTATGAAACCATAAAACAATTGACACCACGAAACCTATGAAACCATGAAACCATTGACATCACAAAACCTATGAAACCATGAAACCATAGACACCACGAAACCTATGAAACCATGAAACCATTGACACCACGAAACCTATGAAACCATGAAACTATTGACACCACGAAACCTATGAAACCATGAAACAATTGACACCACGAAACCCATGAATCTATGAAAGCATTGACACCAGGAGACCTATGAAACCATGAAACCATAGACACCGCGAAACTTATGAAACCATGAAATTATTGACACCACGAAACCTATGAAACCATAAAACAATTGAAACCACGAAACCCATGAATCTATGAAAGCATTGAGACTAGGAGACATATGAAACCATGAAACCATAGACACCACGAAACCTATGAAACCATGAAACCATTGACACCACGAAACCTATGAAACCATGAAACCATTGACACCACGAAACCTATGAAACCATGAAACCATAGACACCAGGAAACCTATCAAACCATGAAACCATTGTCACCACGAAACCTATGAAACCATGAAACCATTGACACCACAAAACCTATGAAACCATGAAACCATAGACACCAGGAAACCTATGAAACCATGAAACCATTGACACCACAAAACCTATGAAACCATGAAACCATAGACACCAGGAAACCTATGAAACCATGAAACCATTGACACCACGAAACCTATGAAACCATGAAACCATTGACACCACGAAACCTATGAAACCATGAAACCATAGACACCAGGAAACCTATGAAACCATGAAACCATTGACACCACAAAACCTATGAAACCATGAAACCATAGACACCAGGAAACCTATGAAACCATGAAACCATTGACACCACAAAACCTATGAAACCATGAAACCATAGACACCAGGAAACCTATGAAACCATGAAACCATTGACACCACGAAACCTATGAAACCATGAAACTATTGACACCACGAAACCTATGAAACCATGAAACCATTGACACCACGAAAACTATGAAACCATGAAACCACTGACACCACGAAACCTATGAAACCATGAAACCATGGACACCACGAAACCTATGAAACTATGAAACCATTGACACCACGAAACCCATGAAACCATGAAACCATGAAGCTATGAAACCATTAACACCACGAAACTTATGAAACCATAAAACCCCTTACACCACGAAACCTATGAAACCATGAAACCATAGAAACCACGAAACATATGAAACCACCAAACACATCAAATCATGAAACCATTGACACCACGAAACCTAAGAAACCATGAAACCATAGACACCACGAAACCTATGAAACCATGAAACCATTGACACCACGAAAGCTTTGAAACCATGAAACTATTGACACCACGAAACCTATGAAACCATGAAACCATTGACACCACGAAACCTATGAAACCATGAAACCACTGACACTACGAAACCTACGAAACCATGAAACCACGGACACCACGAAACCTATGAAACCATGAAACCATTGACACCACGAAACCTATGAAACCATGAAACCATTGACATCACAAAAGCTATGAAACTATCGACACCACGAAACCCATGAAACCATGAAACCATGAAGCTATGAAACCGTTGACACCACGAAACTTATGAAACCATAAAACCCTTGACACCACGAAACCTATGAAACCATGAAACCATAGAAACCAGGAAACATATGAAACCACCAAACACATCAAATCATGAAACCATTGACACCACGAAACCTAAGAAACCATGAAACCATTGACACCACGAAACCTATGAAACCATGAAACCATTGACACCACGAAAACTATGAAACCATGAAACTATTGACACCACAAAACCTATGAAACCATGAAGCCATTGACACCACGAAACCTAAGAAACCATGAAACCATAGACACCACGAAACGTATGAAACCATGAAACCATTGACACCACGAAACCTATGAGACCATGAAACCATGGACGCCACGAAACCTATGAAACCATGAAACCATTGACACCACGAAACCTATGAAACCATGAAACCATTGACACCACGAAACCTATGAAACCATGAAAGCATTGACACCACGAAACCCATGAAACTACGAAACCATTAACACCACGAAACCTATGAAACCATGAACCTATTAACACCACTAAACCTATGAAACCACGAAACACATGAAACTATGAAACCACTGACACCACGAGACCTATGAAACCATGACTCCATGGTACTATCATTATATGACATAGAGATTGGCATATACTAAGTAGCATAAATTCGTGCACCGTAACACCAAGTTGTAACTACACCCCCTTTGTTTTACATATATATTGAGATGGAAACTATTTTTCTGTCGGTATTTTAAAACTGTAGTTGTCCTTGTCTTCATCGCTGTAATAGTTTAAATCCATTCATTTGTCGTTTGTCCCGATTTCATTTTTTCGCTGTTTCAAGTCATAGCACTTTTAGTGGTAGATTAAGTCTTGGCTTGTCTAGATTTCCGTTCTTGGTACATAATGCGTTCCCATTTTTAGCAATACGTTTTTCAGCGATACAATGGTGATAATAAAATGGGTTTTGAGTAGATTTAACCAAAGTTAGGGTGGAAGAACTCACATGTTTGTCATACACGAAACCATGCTTGAAGGACAACTGCTTCGCGTCCTGTAGACTTCCACGTACTTTCACAGCCCAGATATTTCTATAAAAATTTTGTGTAGAATCTAGCGTCCAAATTAAATACATTATCCAAAAGAAAGGACTTAAAACTTTTGTTTTCGCGACCGCCATTGATGTAGAAACTTCCCCACTTCCCGTCGCAATCGTAGACGAGGTCTGTTTAATTTACGTACTTGGTAGCCTGGCATATTCCTAGGAAATCGTGGTGAGGATGTGCCGTCTGACTTTCCTGCAAATCCGTACCCTAGACTTGTAGCAATGTAAGGAAGTACGCGCCGGGATTTTTGGTTCACAGAGTGAAGGCTATCAATTATTAACTGAGCAATCCGGGCGCGTATTCCTGGGAATTCGCGGTGAAGTATGTTGTTCGGCTTCATGATGGGCTTAGGCTACCAAAAAATTCTGACCAGGGGGTCTTCTAATCTTGTACAGTACTTGTCACCGCCTGCCGGAAACAATCAATGAACCCTTTTTTTCGCTCAGTATCTTGTTTCATTTGTTAGATTTAATGAGATCGCCGCGTGTCGCGTCCGGAATATTTCGCTAAAGTTTCTGTGGCTTTATAACGCTGGTTGCATTTGCGAAGCTACGAGCAAAATGGCTAGATTTCTAATTACTCCTGGCAAGTGTTAAATCTACTTTAATTTAACGGGAAGATGCCGGAAAAACGAATCCGAACCTACGTCAAGTTCGACCATTAAACTGCTAAACGAGAGTGGGAAATTATTTCTGCAGGAAATCCTTATGTGATTATCGACTTTGGTAAGTTTAGCTTTGTTTAGCCGAGCAATTGCTGGTAAGTCGTGATTTGTAATATTTCGGTTTTTTGTTCATGAAAGATACCGAGAAAAAATATCAAGCGGAAGTTATTTTTTTCGCACGTGTTCTCTGATGATGTATTTCACATAATTTTTGATAACGTATTACTAAAAGATTCTGTCCGGATTTTTCGATATCTTATCAATTTTACTCTATCACACGCCGCCCAACAAACGATTGCTAACCTCGAGCATTTGGCGCTTTCCTATTTTGCTTTTGCATTTTGATCACCGTCTCATGAAAGTGCTTTTAGTTTTTCCTGGCAGGAAATATGTACCGCGCGCGTTTGTTTGGCGCCCAGATCAGTGATATCAGTAATCAAGAAAAAACGGGAAGAGACTCCAGACAGGTAAGAAAACTTAATAATTATATCAGTAGCATTTGATGTTAAAAATTATTATTCTGGATTATTCTATTCTCGGTGAACACTCGAGAGAGTCAGCTCTTTTCTGAAAAAAATTTCGCAGACAAATAGCCTCGCTGGGTCATGCTGGGTCCCCTTGTTTCCTGAGCTTTTGTTATCTGCGTTGCGTAGTACTAACCTGTAGTAACCTGGGTAGTGTATACCTGAAAACTACAGTTAACTTACGAAAATACATTAATCAATCCTGCAGTATGCCTGAAAACTCCTTTAACTTGCAAAAATACTCTAACCAATGCTGTAGTATTCTGGGTAGTGTATACCTGAAATCTACAGTTAATGAGTTTATTTACTCGCAAATAAAAAAATTTATGTCACCTACACAATAATAATTATGTAGTTATGTACACAGTTGAAAGTAGGATCGAGGTGGTTGATTTTGTGACCTGATAATGTTCGTCGACATGTAGAGGTGATTCTCTTGACCTTTGCTACTTACTATATAATAGGCAAAAGGTACAGTCATGTAAAGTAACGATCACAAGATAATCAGGAGATCTCAGGGACCACTTATATCCCTGGAACACGTTCAGTAAAATTACTATAGTCCTTGTTCCGTACATTTACTCAACATGTGCAGTAATTTTACTCTCCACGTTTTCAGTAAAATTACACAATCGTATGATCGTCTTTCTCGAGGAGTTATAAGGTGAACAACTTCAATTCCACTCACAATTTGCAAGCTCAATCTTCGGACGTTCAAGAAATCAACCCACCTCCACCTCATTTCTCCTCCAATGTGTAATTAAGTTTTTGGTCTACATTAAGTTTTGCCTTTTATCGTGGCCCACACCTTTGCTAGAGCTTAAATAAATTACTTTTAGTTTCTTATTTCTTGGATTTCTTAGTTATGTAAATAAAAGCGGCCATCTGGAATGGCCAGAATTTTAATCCCAACGGTTTGTTGCTATTTTATATGCACTCTAGCAAACTAAGCTTGGCTGTTGACATTAAGTGCACTCGGAGTTGGTATTATTTTACCATATTCGTGAAAGGGGACATAAATGCTCTTAATCATTCCTGTAGTATCCTGGGTAGTGTATACCTGAAATCTACAGTTAACTCGCAAAAATGCTCTAATCATTCCTGTAGTATCCTGGGTAGTGTATACTTGAAATCTACAGTTAACTTGCAAAAATGCTCTAATCGATGCTGTAGTACCCTGGGTATCGTATAATCTACAGTTAAATTGCAAAAATACTCTTATCAATGTTGTAGTATCCTGGGTAGTGTATACCTGAAATCTACGGTTAATTCGTAAAAATGCTCCAATAATTCCTGTAGTATCCTGGGTATTGTATACCTGAAATCTACAGTTAACTTGCAAAAATGCTCTAATCATTCCTGTAGTATCCTGGGTATTGCATACCTGAAGTCTACAGTTAACTTGCAAAAATGCTGTAGTCATTCCTGTAGTATCCTGGGTAGTGTATACTTGAAATCTAATGTTAACTTGCAAAAATGCTCTAATTGATGCTGTAGTATCCTGGGTAGTGTATACCTGAAAGACAGTTAACTTGCAAAAATACTCTAATCAATGCTGTAGTACAGTCAACTCTCGCCTTGCGGACACCCCAATATAACGGACACCCCGATAATACGGACAGCAGATAAATTCCGGGCAAAAATAAATTACAGACATTTGACTTAAATAAACTCCCGCTATTACGGACTCTCGCCACAGAGGACACTAATTTAAGGTCCCTACAGTGTCTGCTCTAAAGGGAGTTGCCTGTATCCCGGCTAGTGTATACCTAAAAAATACATAACCTGACTTATTTTATTTTTGGAGGTGATAATCTTATTCAACTCTTTGACTTACTCTTTTTTCCATCTTATTTTTTCAGCACCCGCTCGAAATTGTTTTTGGCACGAGTATTGCCTTGAACAACGCGGAGTAAAAGAGCAGTATAAGAACAGTTATTGTGGTATTTTGTGTTAGTGATCTAGGAGCCCTTGAAATTGGCGATTTTGCGATGGTGACATATCGCTAGGATTATTTCATTTGCTTGATATAAAAGTAGTACAAAAAATCTTAAATCATATCGGTACTTGTCTCTTAATTGTTTCTGTTGGCTTTATAAGGATTAGGCGCCTTTACATTCTGATACAGGACCATACAGTTGTCAGCGCGTTTGTTAAATTTGGTAATGTTAAATTAGAGTATAAGGAGCTACTTTTACGAATTTTACGAAAAACATTTTCCCGGCCTTTCAGGAAGCGGCTCAAATAATTTCAAAGTTGCAGTGCAGTCACAAAACTGAATTCTTGGGTTTACCTCCGTTTCATACTATCTTACTGCCCGAGACTGAAAAAGGTGCTATGTAAAATGTTTACGCCGTTTTATTAGTATAGGTAATAGCATGATTTGTAGTGATATTAGGCATAAATACTACGAGTGATATTTCAAAATTGTTGAACGTACTTTCACGAGCCGTTAGGCGAGTGAAATTTGGGCATGAACTACATGTTAGCACACACCACACACCAGTTAACCTTATTGAAAATAGCTAAATGGTGAATTATGGCTTGGCTGCCAAGTTGCAACTGATCTTTTGCTTTTAAGATCTTTAGGGAAGTTGTTTTCGCACAGAAAATTAATTTCTTCATTGTCAGGAAGAAGTTTTTGAAATAATGTAACTTTAACTTTGTTTGAAGGAAATCCTACTTACGCGCTGGTTTTTGACACTTGTTATGCGTGTTCAACTTGACAACACAAAGCAAAATTTATATATCTGCGCGAAACGAGCACGTTTAAAAAACTATAGTTGCTTTGAAACCGATTTTTGGGGAGATTTTACTGGGTAAAGATTGACCTTTTTTCTGCCCACATATCAACGCAATAACTTCTACTTTGAGGATTTTGTTTATATTTTAGTGATCTGCGAAACTACGAGTGTCCGATTGAGCGAGGGTTTTAAAATGTCAGCTCGGGTGCAACAAAGTTCAGTGACTTCAAACACGTTGTGGGCAAGCGTTAATTTTTTTGGGGCAAATCAAAGTCAAAAGATTTGTTGTTTTTGTGTCCACAGTGGAGCTCCGAGCCTTATATATCCAGGAACTTCCTTATATGAACACATTTCGTGAATGTATCTTGAAAAAAATCGGACCTACGCATGCACATTTCCAGTACAACGCAAGGAAATTAATGTCGTTAAAGTCCGTTTTACTATGAGGTATTCTTTGAGAAAATTAAGTAACGACAAGGTTATAACCACAGCTTGCAACTTTTTGTTATGAAGTAGTCTCGTGGTTATTTTTGACATTATTATCATAAGGATTTTTGATGACAGTTCTGTTTGTTCTTTGTTCTTCTCGTGATTTAAGTTTCGTTATGTTTGGGTTTGAGAATCAAGGTTAACCAATATATGCGTTGACAGGTTTTTGAGTGTTATTACCTTTTTAATGGGTTTGTCGACAGAAGTGTCATCAAGCTTGGGGCTTAATTAAGTTTGATTTTCAGTTTTTAAGTGGGTACGTTTTGCGACCATTGCTGACCTTGCTTATTATCTACATCAGAGTTCCTGTTTTGGTTTAAGATTTAGCCTCGTGGATTTAGTTGTCGAGCTTTCATTGGTTTTCTTGTAGGATTGTTTATTCCACTTTTGTTAACAACGGGAAATTCGTTAGAAGTCATTCGGAATAGCTTTCGTAACTCTCATGATCAGCAAGCCTAAACGTACCTGCGTTATGCTTATATAAGTTGTGTAGTTGGGTGGTTAGTAGAGTGTGATTAGCTGTTGTAAGAAGCTGAGCTGTAGACGTTTGTCTTGCCGCCAGTAATTAAAGGAAGAAAGTATCAAAGCTTTGTCAGAGTCCTGGAGCACTCTCGCTAGAAGAGCTGTCCCCGTCGAATCGAAGAAACCCCTAA